AGCTGATCTTGTGGGGGTTTTTGTGGAACAATCATAGGACTGCTCCACTGAGCAGTGCCACGAATGTGATTGACGCCCATAGGTCGATACGTTTTGATTTGGAATTCATGGATCGAGTGGCTTACCATTTTTCTACTGAACCTCTTGGTTTGGGGTGGGGAAAACTGTTGTCAGGGTAATGCGTCTCATTGAATTATTATGGGTAAGCTTTGTAAGTTGAATCTACTTTGCTAGAACAGTATCATTGTAGAGTCAAGCTAAAGAGTGGTTTCAAAGTATATATATTGGTGTTTTTATTGGACTCAACCTTTAACTTCAACATGTCAAAATGACCTGATTTTTTTTACTAAAATTGGCAACTTTAAATAAAATGGTCATGCAGTTCAATTTATTCGATTGTTCATTTATTGAGAAAATTACTTTAAACATTGGTTATAATGATGATATACTGCTCTTTTATTGGCCAGAGAAGGGTTAAAATGTTGGCCGAAACCACTGCTTATTTAGCACAAGTTTATTGTTCAACATAGACATAGGAGGTACCTGTTGATTTGTAGATGACATATATGGTTAGTGGTGGGACATTTAAACAAAGTACGTATAGAATTTATCCTATATGTTCATGACTTAACTGCCAGAGAAAACTAAATAGGATTTCACTGAACTCGAGTCTAAGCGAGCATAAACAGACTCTAGTTCAATTCAACATTTCTAAGGCAGAGTCCATTCATCCAGCAGAACCAATGATTTGGCACAAAGTGGTATCCATTTTTATCAACCCGGAGAGATGATGGGATAAGTAAAAAATATATCAAACTGGATTTGAACTCCAAACATTCTGACCTGCATGTCAAGTACTCTAACCGCAACTCCACCTGTAATACATCACTAACTTAAATAACTATTACAGAACAGAATTCTAGAATTGCTGCAGAATATATTTTGGCAATGAAAACAAGTTATCAAGTAGCCAAAAACAGCATGTGTAATACATAATTCTAATATACATCCAGTAACACCTGCGAATTTCATGCGTTTATTAATAATTTGTATTAGGCTATTTAATCATTTACTTTGGAAGAGGGAAAAAAAGTGCCATTGCAGTCTTATTGTTGCCGAAGAATAGACACCCTGAAGAGCAGCTCACTTTAAGCATTGCAAAGAGGCCATTGTTATATAGTAATGATAAGCATTTGCCATAGAGGCGTCAGTCTGCAAGCAGCAGCATTCTCTGCTTCAAAGCACTCAATACGTGCATGGTTGTGAAGCAGATATTTAAATCCACTTGCATCCGTGGTGCACGCCGCAATGACCAATTTCAAAGTTAAAGCTGCCTCCACGAACACATGGTGGCTGAATTGTATGAATTCAACATAATGGCATCTGTGTATTGGACAGGTGGATTGGGTTGTAATAGCAAAACATTATAGCGGCTTTTAGACATACACCAGAGCATCTCAATTATACTTTAAGCATGTTTTTAATACAGCACTATACTTGTTTTATTGTCAGTAGACATGGGAACGGATCCTCATCATAATACACACTACAATTTAATGCCACCTTGTTCCAATAATATTGCATTTTAAAAGGATATCAACACGCTTTTGTGTCAATTGTTAGGTCAAATTTATGGCACTTCTTTCAGCATATCACGATCAATACCGTACGCGACAATGCGATATGATGGAGTTTAGGTAAATCTGTAGGCATGAGTTTATTATGTTTGATGTGCAATCACAAAGTATGCATTTAACCGTCCTTGGAAATGGATGTTTCCTTTAAATATAATAAATAATCAAACAACCGTGACATGCAAAAACCACAGTGTGCATCGCAGAACCACATTCAGGAAACTAGTTATGGGCCTCAAAATAAATTGTTAATAAAAGTTACTCAGATGAGAACATTGCACCAATCGGTTCCAAATGTATGTAACTTTTTATCATTATTATTTTTCGCATTTCACAAAGGTGCAAACCTACATGTTACATAATGTAGGCTTTCATGAATAAAAGCAAGGTGAATTCATGATTACAAATTTTCGCCACTCCTAAGGTAATGCGATTTCCGTCTTAACCAATTATACAAAGTGTATACCGTCCGTTCAATATAAAGTAAATACTGGGTTGTATATATTTTTTTATATATACATGACATTTGTGATTTGACATGTTGGTCTTCGGTGCAAATATACAACATTATGATCATAAGGATTTTGTGTTGCATACCAGCAAGCTGGAATCGAGTAATTGCAAATGGTATATAACAGCACACTTCACACAGAATAGAGTCAACTGAAGAGCTTTGTTAAAGTTGTTTGAGAATGTTCACAATTCAGTAAAGATTTGTTTCTCTTAAATTCTCAAAACGTGTCCATCATTGAAATGACACGTTTAAAACTGTGGGTGGCTGCAGGACGATTCAGAAAAATAAGTAGTTTTTGCAGATCACATTTATATAAATATAAAAACCCCATCGCAGAAATTTCAATCAAATTCAGATACATAAACCTTTCGAGACTTTGAAAGAGAGGAGTTTCCATTCTTTTGTTAAACATCTGCATGGCTTGGGCTGGATCACTGCATTTGAGAAGCAGGTTATATTTTCAGCCTGCAACATAAAGCTCAGCTGCTAAGCAGCCATTACCCACCGGTAAGAAGAATCACGTGACCACAATAAGCATTTATTGAGTGCTACAGTGTAAATACATTACTAAACGCTATTTGCTTTGCTTCCCCCTTACGTCTATTGAACATACACTTAAGGTCACGAAGCTTGGCTTCTGTATATTTTTGTTTGGTGTGTGGAATTAATGGCTTCAATTAAAGTGCCAGAATCTCCCAGAGGTACAAGGCTATGAGTGTACACCCACACAAACAAGCAGCTATTAACCCTTATTACATGCAACATTGCTCCCTCTGCACATTGCATATGGAGCCGTGCATGTCAGAGTATGGAAATTAACTTTAATATTTAACTACCATGAACAATTCCAGATAAACTATATATAATCTTTTCATATAGGGGATCATTGTCTATGCTTGACCGTATATCTAAAATGTAGTTTTTTTATTTCAGCAGCATCTTTTTTTTTATTAAATACTGCAGTTGAAAGTTGTAAATAATGAACCCCATTTTTATTATTCCTTTCACATACAATTCAACCCACAGCATCTATAAGCTATTTAGTGCGGTGTATAGCCTGCAGTGGCATTGCTTATGAACTGGCACATCCAATTAAATTCTAATAATATTTACTTTCAGCCTGATCAGGATTTTTTTGTAATAGACAGTGATAATTAGTCCTGAAGTGATTTTTTCCCTTTTCAAAACATCACAATCAGTATTATCTTCCATTACTGAAGACTTCTGAGTATTTTATAATCGCAGCAGTCGGGCTAACAAGGAACTCTTTTCTGTTTTATCCAAAATGCATAGTATCATATGGTACACCTTTACACTCCGCTGAATGTCAGCTGGAGGGAAGTTGGCCCCCAAATGAGAATTCTTGATGTGGCTGATAATTAATACGTGTCACAGAAACCTAACTTGGCATGGCTGTTGCATATCCAATCACAACTTCATGTATCACATTAAGTATAACAATAACAGCCTGCAATGAAATATGATGGAAGGATTAATGCCTCTCACTTGCCTATTCTTTAATAAGCACTTGAACAATATATTGAGACCAAAACTGTAAGTAAAAATGTAGTGACAGATTTATCGGATACGGAATTTATCAGCTAGCTGATTAGCCATTTGCATCGTGATGCAGAATGTACATCCAAGCTCCTGCTTTCAGATTAAAAAGGCAAATGATTTATTTTCACTTTTATTCCCTTTTATGTCTCAATTTGTTTTATTTTACATCAAAGTGTGGAAACCGGAGCAATTTGTCGCGTGTCAGAACATACCGTAACTGAACAATATTCTTACCGTATATGTATTTTTACCCTTAGGGTTCAAGAACACTTCATCAATAATAACACTGATATCTATTCGGGGGTGATGCGTCACGTTGCCTTTTAAATGTTTAATGTCACGAAGATACTTTAAAATGAAAGAAGTTATGCAATATGCTGGGCATTGCAGCCGTAGCAAAGTGTAGTGATATGCTACCAAATACTAATGCGGTACAGTGTATAATTTACATGTAATTGCCTAATGACAGGAACCGAGCAGACATTAACATAGCTGGCGATGAGAAAAGGTTCCTCCTCACCACAACTCATTATTTTAATAATGCACAATGTACATAGCATGTATTAATGCCATTTCTTTTTCCATGGGCACATTTGCAACGAGTGCATGTGATTCACTCGCAGAAACAGGCCTACCACCGTAGATGGGTCAATTGTTGGATAATGCAAGGGTTGCATTTGTGCAGATAAATCATTGCGGATAAATGCAGTTTACCATCACAATATGCCCATTCTATTTTTATACCCGGTGGACGACATCACGGGAGTGGCCTGTATGGCTCCCTGTGCATGAGCAAAGCAATACTAAAACAACGGAACGGATGCACCAGTTCAGTGTACCGTAATACCCCAGTTTACGTCGGGAATGTAAATGCTGAAACGACGTAAATCAAAGATGTTTTTGTTCGAAATCACTAAAATACTGTACATAGATAAGATATTGCACGGTATAATACAGTAAATATATACGCAAAGTAGTTGGTGTACAGGGTAGCTGGAGGTGAGGGCTGGTGGGCGACGGAAAGCGAGAAAGGACCATGATGTTGCCAGCGACGTAAGTGTGGGGTCGAGGCGACGCAAATCGGGTCGCGGTGTTAATAACAAAGTGGCGACGTAGTTGCGAAACGACGTAAAATGGCGAGACGTAAATCGGGGTATTACTGTATCAAGTCATCGTGGCCGCACGTACATAGTATGCAGTGAAAGGTAAAGGTGGAGCTCAACCACCGCAACACACGCCCATTCTAATTGTCAGTGGATAGTTGGTTGTGCCGCGGAGAGACCGATCCTCACCTCAAGAATGCGAACTTTGCGCCAACTGGCTCAGGCCTGCCAACAGACGCGAGTAAGCCGTCTTATACAACGACCCCTGTACACGGCAAAGATGTGCACATCTGCTAATGCCGGTGCACACATACGCACACCACGGCGGCCCATGAACGAGCGCTATTTGAAATCGCTTTTAAGTTCAAATCGCCAGCGTGGTATGTGTCATTGGCATGCACACACAGCACACACTTTGTCTGGCTTCACCCGCCCTTCACAAACAAAGACTAATCGTGCATATCAAGCAAGGTGCGTCCAAAATAAAATTCTTATGCACAAGGCCACATACAAACTCTGGCAGTTGATAATAATATTATTTAACCTCGTAATGCAATGGCCTGGCATGGTACACGTCCAGTGAGTGGAGGCCAGGGGTTGCGAGTTACCCAATGATGGAACCGCTGTCTGTGAGACCTCCACCATGGTGTCTGTAGATGGCAGTACAGAAAGTAAGTATCTGCTTGGGATCACGTGTGAAATTTGAGTTGTTCCCTGCTTGATATGGGTGGGTTATCCACCTCAAGCAAGACCCCTCCTACAAAGGTCTTAAGATTCAGTGAGACTTACGGAATAAATTATTAAAAAGTGTCCGACTGCGTTGGCAGCAGCTCGCAAGCACAAATAACAAAAACTCACATTCATTAATTACACTGCCCTGAAGAGAAACACATTAAATGAACAATGTTTTGGGCAAAATGTCTATTTACCCGTGGGCATTAAGGTGTGGGTGTTATATTTATTAAAATGTACTTTATTTTTTGTTAAATACATCTAATCCAGTCTACCCGAATGTGGCCAGGCTTTGGTGAGGTCCTTCTATCAGGTCACCATACCTTTTGGGTGTCCAATAATGCCACACTGAAATCGAGGAATAGCTCCCACAAGATAATTCCCACTTACGTCACTCACTAGCCATCGAACCACCTAACACTTTTTTTATAAACTTTTGTCACAATGAAGCATGTGCTCTCCCTCAATGTTGGAAGTGCAACAAATTGTATAGAAATGACACAAATGCACTCAACTTTTCATAGAATGCATGTATGAATGGCTAAATATTAATAAATGCAAGTTTGCACGATTTACAGGGATGTTTTTTTAATCAGTGCGAATAAATAGGCATTTATAAAAAAAAGTCTGCTTAATAGAAGGTCAAAGTGTTGTTGTAGTAATTGGTGTGTTAAACGGAGACAAGTTAAGAGTGCTTATCCTATTTTATAGGCACCTAAAGTAATGCACATTCAAATGACGACTGTAAATTTGTTTTGTATTGTTTAGTTGTATAGTTCCCATTGATGACAGCACAAAAGCATTTGTCTAGACAGAGGTATATTGAAACATTTTATAAAAAATCACGTAGCACTGATAGTCACTTACGACCACAAAGCTGATCGGTTTGGGAACACGAGTTGGCAAAAGTACAAGGGTGTGAGATTGTCTGATTGTTTTCAAATATAGTTGTGCATCTTTTGAGACAGTAATGCAGGCCACTGGGCACCCATTGCAGATTTTTTTCGCGCAATCTCCGTCTGGAAATAGAAGGATGGAAATCATTCTGTGAAATGCAGGGGGGGGGGCATTACGGGCAATGAAAATGCCTTTCCCACCTAAGCCAGAAAACTCTTCAAAAGGCACAAAACCTCAACAGGGCTTGATAAAAGTGCACATTCGGGTCCCTGAAGCATTCCGAAATGGCTAGCGAACAACATTTCCCACATCGATTTGTAATTACGGGCACAGAAACACAACAGACGTCCGGCTTGCCACCGGCCGCCCACAGACACTTAATCCTGTAGTGGTGCGAGGCATTGATCGCATCGGTACACCCTGGGGGGGAGGAGGTAGAGTGAGGTAAGGGACGTCCGTCCAGCCTGTCGCCACTCTGCGCTCTTAATGGAATTCTCCATATTAAATCTCCTACACCTGCAGTGGGCCTCACTAACCTTGAGTGCAAGCACAGGTGTTGGGAATTAAATTGGAAGCATTCGGGTTGTGTGTGCGCGGGAGGCGACAACCCTGATAAATGGTCCTGCTTATGGGTCAGCCACTGAATAAGACTCAATGACTGTCAGAGCGAGATCGGTGCCTTGCAATGCAGCCATCCGAGAGCCGTGAATTCATTCATTCACCTGCAGTAGCTAAAGGCAGTGTGTGTGTCACGTAGTGGATATATGTTCACCACAAAGGGAGCAAAAAATACGACACAAAGCATTTCCAAACCAAAATACAGTGAAATGTGCATTAAAGTGTTTAATGGCAGGGGAAGCACAAATGTTTTCAGTCTGTCCATTCACATATTTAATATAACATTATTTTACTTGACCTTCCTGAAATCGTGCTCGCTGCCCTTAATGATCAGTTTTATTTTTACAATAAAGATTGCATTATCACTTTTTTTCATATAATTGCTGCACTGTTCCATGTACGATATTGTATTGCAAAGGTAAAGGTGCAGCCTTGTAATATCTTGTTCACACCACTGCAAGCGGATGGGCCTCCACTGGAGGGAACTCCATAGGGTGTTTAGCCTACTGTTCCATGCTCGCCAAACGTACTGTAAAGCATGTATATGATATGAAACAGGATGATAGTGTTGAAATTCTGTTACTATTAGTATTCTGTTCGATTAATTATGGAAATCCCATGTCATCCTAATGCCCTGCCTGGTAAACCAACGTGTCTGCAGAGAGTCGAGGAGTTTAATAATGAAAAAATAAAATTACCGATCGAAGACTTCATATAAGCAAGCAATATTTGAATCCATAACGAACATTACAGATTCAGTATCTGAGAGACATATATAACACTCTGTAATTAATTTTCTGTCAGAAGCTAATTCCAACTTTTAAACTATTATGTTTAATATTTGTTTCCTGATACCTCACATGGGTTAGACTTTTAAGAGTAGTGCCCTATTAGATGGTGGCAGTGTTCTGTGCTTGATAACCCAGTTGTTTAAAATGTGGAGATTTTTCCATTATCTCGAGCTCTCTCTTAGCATGTGTACATTCCTGTAAAGAAATAGAAGAGTGAGCTACTCCACATTTTAATATAATGTTATTACAGTCTTATATCAGCTGCAACCAGAGAATTTCTGCCGTGGGGGGAATTATCCAGAGCCAGCCATAAGCTTGACAGATAGCTTTAAGCAGATAAGCTTGAAGGAAATTATACCACTTTCAGTTTGATGATGATTGATGATAATAGTGATGAAGATGATTGGTTCTCCCGTAAGATAATGATTTTTTTTAAAGGAATATAACACGTCACATGCTTTTTGTTCACATTCAGTGTTGAAACATTGCGATATTAATGTTATTTAACTCGTAGTAAGGACAGACAAAAATCACACACAACCATAAAAAGATACAAATCTCCCCCTTTCGCCTTCACAGACTGTTAGAGCAAATGCTCTTAAGCGTGCACCTATGAAGACTAGCAGGGCAGACGAGGGGGTGAGTGGCCAACACCACGCCCAGCTGCCTTTGTCTCCCTTGTGGCAATGTTTACACACCGCACCAGGTACTCATTTGAGGCTAAATCAACCTAAGGGAGGGAAAGAACCGGTTCAGATAATCGTCACTGGTCTTGGCCGTGAGCAGGAATCGAACTCGGGTCACAGGATTTATAGGGCAATATAGCGCTAACCACTGCACTACCGCTTCCCAGATAAGTAAACACACAACCATTAACACACATGGAATTACACCAATGGACAAGAGGAACACGTGGATTATGGAGCAAATGCAAATCAGAGACATTGACCTATTGACTAACAAGCAAAGTAAAAGGGGCCTTGGACATGACACTTCACTGGAATGGCTGATGGCTGATGGACAAGACTGGTGATGAAATGGCAGCCAGAGGGAGAAGCACACACACACACCCAAGGAGACAACTACTGCCGAGAAGCGACGATGAGATCACTTCACGCGCAGAAGAGAGGTGAATTGTAGTTTCACAGGACTATGAGGGATGGAAATGGGGGGGGGGGGGGGGCTTCATCAAGCAGTGGATAGAGAGAAAAATGATGACGGTGTCAAATATGAACGAGGACAACAATGTGTGGTAACGGGAACATCGTAATCTTAACACTTTGGGAATTGCCCATATTACTGATACAACAAATGTGGAATGTTGCAAAAAAAAAATATTCCACATCGATGATGGGACCGAGTTGAATAAAAAGTTGACTAGGAGTCGTATTTTAACAGGCTAACCTGGAAATGTGGGATACATTACTTCAGTTAGCCATGTGTTGTAAAGTGTACAATTAATATTTCTTGTCAATGTGACGCAGGCAAGAGGAGGCCGTAGTATGCCAGCAACCACTTCCTGCATTTACAAATGCTTTGTTGACTTGCGGTTTGTGTATTTTTATTTGGCTTTCAGCTGGTTTAAAAAATGCTGCATTGCTTTTCAACGTAGCCAAATTAACATAACTTGCGAACTATGTTTGAATGTGTACAATTACGTTATATGCTGAGTGGCACAGTGGAAGAACATCTGGAATCACTATCTGAAAGTTATGCTTCTAATTTCAGTTATGGGTCAACTCAGCTCGTGTTTCTCCTCTGGTCAGAAGAATGAGTACAACTTTGTGAGAAATAAACAGAAATGGGAAAATTCCACCCCTGACTCAAAACTTGGATATGAGAACTGCTTCATGCTAATTCAAACGTTTCGACACACACACACTATTAAGCCAATTGGGTAATGTATTGTCCATAATAGAGGCTTCTGGGTTAGATCGCGTAAATATAAATGTGTCGTGAAACCCGCCACCACGCGGCACAGTAAAATAAGTAAGGTTTATCACGTAACCCAAAAAACTTCGAACGTGGATAATATTGGTCACGAAAGCCTACATGTTAAGCTGTGTAATTTATTCTACATAAATTTTGAACGCTGGGGGCGGCGGGGGCGAGCTCTGGCACAGCAGGGGGCGCAGTTCTGGCCATCGCTGGTATCAGAACCAATCCCCGGCCCTCATAATATAGTTTGATGAACCAAAAATCATGATTGGGCTGAAAATAAACACTCCGCTGCCATCATCACCATTATCTTAGTGTCACAACTGAAAAATCTGTCATTACATAGAGTGGAAATAAGTGAGTGGAACGAGCAGCGACTGATATCTAAATCGGTCCTGGGTATCCCTCGCTCACTCCCGACTCCAAACTCGCACTGACCAGCCTGGTGAAGTATGGTGGGAACAAAAAAAAACCTCCCATGACCGACACGGGTTTGAGGAGGCCTTCATTCTGCAGTGGATTGACAAAGGGCCGTACATTTCCATGTATTTATATAATTCATATGTACACTGTGTATGCTGTATGAAGTTCTGTCTTTTGTTTACAAGTTCCAGTTGAATAGTTTAGCGATTCCCCCACCGCACACTCATGATCAAAACAATGATGTCAGCCGCACAGTGGCGACAACTGCACCTGGTGGTACGACACAACACAAGCACGCTCTTTGTGAGGCAGAGGGCCAATTCGACAACTTTGAAGATGAGCCTCCCTTTGAAAGTTCCGTTCCCTGACCACCAGTGGTAATAATTCAAGATATGAAGGCAGGAGGTAGAGAATGGTAACGCACCGTTGGGATTACCGGTATCACTGAGACCGCCTTTCTCTCATTACAGCTGCGATTAACAACAAGGTGCATCTTAGTCCTTTTAAGTCGATTTCCATATGGTGTTTTAGGTCTACTTGTGTTGTCGGGATCTTACATAACGTTTTAAAGACGGCATTTTAACGTATAAAACCCTACCATATGGGGTGCGTAAAAGAAATGTCTACTGGATGGTTACTGCTTCGTCGGGAGCGAAAAAAAATAGGTCATCCTATAAAAGGGCTGAATGCGGATGTAGAAATGTGAATTACCACCACGTCGCTGATGAGTGCCAATGGAGATGATTCCCACTAGATTCCCAATGGTAAATGGTGGCCAATTAATTTGATAAGACTTGTTGTGCTTTGAACTAATGCATGGGAATTTAACATTGTGATCTCGCTTCGTTGAGCACAATACATTTTCGACTTGCATTATATCAATAATATAGATGTGTACTCAAGTTGGGTTTATAAGTATTTTAATTAGGGTCATTTAAGGACATATATTTTTAAGTTTATTACATTTCTCACTTCAGAAGGTGATCAGGAAGACTGCAAAGTTTGACTCAAGATACATTAGAAAAACAAATCATGTTTTGCTAAACGATTGAAAATCTGCTGTGCGGAGGAGGATGAAAGTGATGAATGAGAGGCAGAGGAGAGCACGTTGGGAGTGCTTTTGGGAAGCTGAACTTGATTATTAAAAAGCAACATGCCATTTGTGGCAAAAGAAGGCCGTGTTATATCCATTGTACACCATATTTTGCTGCCATGGATTAGAAACGTTAATTTTAACAAAGAAAATGGAAAACAAAATTAAATTCGCACAAAGAAGCATAGAGAGGCACAGGCTTAGTATTACTTTGAGAGAAGTAATACTATTCAACCGTGGCAACCGATTAGCACGGTTTACTACGTGCTGTGCGAAAGAAGTTCAAACATACGTGCATACATGTATTCAAGTACGTACACAGGTTAAAATACATTATGAACAGTAAGTGGGCTTGGGCAGGGACCCCTCGTTAGAATGGATAATGGCCAGTGGGAAAGTCTAATCGTGGAGTAGCTGCCAAAGGAGGGAACACACCCATGAGAACACTTACCATGGAGATGGAACAATAACATCAGCTTGTATGGAGCGGTTAGGTGGATTGTTGCATTGAAATACTTTGAGTGATAGCTGCAGTTTGGTTTAGCCTTCATGCAGCAGTGGATAGATCATGGCTGATGAAAGATTATGAGTTTAAGAAGATAAAATGGTGGTGCTACACGAACGAGCTCTAAAACAAGTGTGTGCCATGTATGTGCCTGCACGTGCAACTCATTTAAAACACACAAAAACTGTATAAGAATGGAGTCTTGTTACAAAAAAACATATGATCCACATAAAACATATTCGTAAAATACATCACACGGAGAATATTCATGCTCTACATAACTTTAAAGTAATTGTACTGCAGTGTTTTATGGTTTCAAATAAGTGTGTAAAAAATATTGAGGGCTTTGCAGCACAATATATTCAAAACGGATAGCCTTTAATGGGCATATCCTTTAGAGTTCAACTTTGGATTAAAGTCATAGATACTCTGAGCTTCCTTTTCAGGCCACTACGCTTGTATGAAAGTTATAAACACATGTTCAGTCCATTATGCAACAGAAAGAGAAAATAAACAGGGTCGTTGGGCTTTGTCTAAGAGCACACACAGCATAGCCCCAATGCTTAAACGGAACCGGGCAAGTGATGTTTGTGGGATTCCCAAGGGTCCAAGAAAATCCAGCGTGGCCTTATAGGGTTAAGACTCACAACAGAAACATGCCAATTGATAAAACACGTTCGTGAGATTGGAAGCGACATTTTGGCACAAACATAGGGACAGTCAGCCTTCTTCAAAGCAATACAAAGGAAACAGGCTGCCGCATTAGGTTGTAATAGTATGAGTGATTCAATAAATTGGCAGTATGTTGGTAAATCATGCTACGTGTTGGGTTCTTATGGTTTAATGTGTTTGTAAGACCAATTAGTGCACCTGGCATGCATATGGGGTTGGCATCTGGCACGGTGTATTATTAACTTGTAAAATTTCACCGGCCAATATCAGATAATTTAAAGCCAATCTTTTTAGTTCAGTCTGTCTCTGTATGTTTGCAGTTTAACTAATGGAAAGAACATGCGATATTTTCAAATCTGAAGCTCATCTGTAGCTCGTTGGAAACAGAAATGCACTCTTGCATTGAGCCTGCTGGTATGCCATGTGTAATATTGTCACATATACAGTCATTTACCTTTCATGTGCCAGCTGTTACAAATCATCACTCTCATCACTATCTTTCAAGCATCAGCTGCTTCCCAGCATCCCAACCACCTGCTGACTCCAGATTACATAATCCTTGGTGGTTTGACTCATGTTGTGGGATCCAGTATAAGTCCAGGTTGCTGGACAACAATACTTTGTTTTTCAATCCGCAGGCACATTTCCAAATACCTAAGAAAATATTAAATAGATGGCAGCAGGTCTGGTGGATTAAATCAAACCTGACGGTTGCCAGGATGAAGTTTTTAAGCGTGTGCAGAGAATGAGGAACAAACTCAGGGCATTCAACAGATAGTTTATAGGCAGAGGCACCGTGGCTTTGTGCTGTTTTAACGCCTCCCCGTCTCTTTCCCGTAAAAAATGCTGCTAATGCTGCTGCTGCCAGTGTCCCTCGCAGTGAAGAACACGCGTGCATCTTTACCGCCACAGAACTCGACGCTCATAGAATAGGCGAGGAGAACCGTCTGTCCCCGCACTGAATCACTGGAGGCGACACCGCGCAATTGTGCACATTTCCGAGGCGTTTTATGCCAAACAATAATCTTTTGACAGAGAGTAAAATTGCAGAGCACTGGGCCTGCGCAAATATAAAATTATTTTGGAATGTGCCGAGGATAGCTTGCGGGAGCTCCGTGGAAGCCCACTGTGGCTCCTGACAGGTCATTTATCAATAATAATATGCTGTATGGGCTGCAGAGTAAAACATTTTTACGTAATGACATAGAGTGACAGCCGTTATATTTTACGTGTGTAGAAATCCTTAAAGTGTAAGATGTGCGCCTGCTGTTGTCCATTTAAATGCGGATGCATACTGCAAAACTTACCGGGAATCGCAGCCAAAACTCTGGAAGTCTAATCCCCAGAATAGCGATTATGACATCACTGCAGTCAAATCGTACATTATAGAATTAATGTGGTGCCGATGGTAAATCGCAGAGTCATGAAATGCTCGTTACGATGGCCATGGATATATAGCGTAACAAAGCTGTAAAGGAATGACTAAAAATAACTGAATAGGAAAACATTTGATGGTAATGATGATAACTATGAGTACAATCTTCTATCCCACACATGAGACAATGAGCCTGAACTATTCTGTCAGCTTTATCGTAAAAACAAAATGTGTTGTGGCTTTAGTCACACGTAAAAATCAGTGATACTAGAAAATTGTGAATAATACAAGGGGAATTTATCTCGGGTATTGTAAATAATAACACCGATCTCAGTAGGTTGTGTAATACTTTATGAATTGCGTGGTATTCATAATTTACCAACTGGTAATAAATACATGAGAACGTTGATGAATATGAATAGAACACTAAAATATATTTAATGCCACTCAATAGCAACTTTAAAACGTATCCTAACTACACACACAACCGCTTCGATGCTGCTTCTGGGGACAGCTGAACGAGACCATCGTTTCTCATTAACTGAAACGTGTAATTGAGTACATCTTGAGCGTACGCAAAACTGTCATTAGCAGTACTGCACTGTCGAGAGAAATGTCTCTTTTGGTGAATTCAACACGAAACAAAAACGCGCATTTTCAGTAGTTTTTTTTTTTAAACACTACCGCTGAACTTGATCTACAGCAGTCATTCATGCAGCAGCAATCGCTTGCAATTGGGCAGATTTTAAACAAAATATATTTCTGTTTGCATCACCTCTTATATCTGTTATATGGAACGCTACGACCCCCAAGAACAAAATGCATAAACCAACAACAACAAAAAAACAATTCTCACAGCGAGCTAAATATAAAGATGAGAAAACTTACCGAGGTGCTGCTGTTGTTGGAGTCCCCTTCAAGCCATATGGGCTGCGACACGAGAATATTCAGCACCCCCCCCCCCCCACAAAAAAAAGAGATGCGCCCGCTCTTTCGCTGGGGCTCGCTCGCTCACTTCACGCAGCGAGGGAGGCCAGATCGACCGCAGTCGACAAGGTAAGAAGTGGGTGTCTGTCGTGAACAAGTGCAGCGCTCTCTCCTCCTGGCGTGGCGGTGCTGCCGCTTGTCGCTTCTTCTCACCGCAGCATTTGAGAGCAGCAGCAGCCAGCAGCCAGCCGCGCGCCGCGTTCGGACGCGGCCGCGAGCCGTAGACGGGAGCAGACGCGCGGAGTGGTCGACCTATACGCCCGTACTCATGGGACGCCGACAAACCAATCAGCACATCCGTCGACTGCTCTTGCCTCCCCACCCCCTACCACCACCACCACCGCCGCCGCCGCCGCCACCTCGCTCACTCGCCATCAACCCCACCCGCCCCCTGCCTGCACGTCCGCCTCGCCTGCATCCCCTGCCCCTCTACCACTTTCCATTTGTCTTCGTCTTGCTTCCTTCTCCCTCCGCATTCTCTTTTTGACATTTGCAAGATATGCTACATTTATTGCAGTCGGGTAACATTCCCGCTTTGCATCTTGTACGACGATGTATATTTGCTGATGTCCGTTATTTAATTATGTATGTTGCAGTGTGGTATGCACCCTTTTGATGCAATACAGTTAATGACATTTAAATGGTTATTTCGCAAAACGTGATTGTATATATAAACACATACTGTAGGGATTTGTAAGTGTATGTCAAAACGTCTCTGATGAAATGTGGGTCCGTGCAAATCTTAATTGTGTCCCTGAGCCACTGGTGGAAATTCAACATTCTAATAGCAGGGCCCAGTCTCCCAATAGGATATCTACTGTTGGTACGTGTGTGAGTTAAATAATATACTCGATATACTTCACAATAGATTTATTTGATGAGGATATATTAATTAAAGATGTACTCATGTCAACCTTTCGAACTCAGAGGCAGATCTAGAAACTCTTGGAGGGGGTGTGAGTTGTCCCAACATTTCCAACTTTTTAAAACGGGCCTTACATTAATAATAATAGCGATCTCAGTATTTTTCTTGGTACATATGAATAAAATACCAGTTTTAGTTGTCTCTGTGGGGGGGGTTCACGCCTATTGCCCCCTGCCTCCCCATTGGATCCGCCACTGTTCTAACTTTACAACTTGTATTTCCCCCAATCTCCCACTACCTTACTGACTGCCAGCGCAAGATGGTAAATGCATTAGGTTAGACTGAATCCGCTTCCAAGCATTTTATCCACATTGGAACATTTGGTCTAACGTCATCGTCAATACAGAATATTCTGCTTGGAAAGGGAATCGTGGATTTGTTTTCTTTCTTGCTGAACATATGTCTCGCTGTGCAGAATAGAAAGCATTCCATATATAAAACGGAAAGACGCATTGCCTACCACTTATTGACTGTGAGGGGCACATCCTTGTGAAGGTAACTGTTTTTTTTACTTCCAAAATATTAAACTGTGGCAACCTTCCACCATACTCTTTGGTTATATTCGGTAAAGTCACGTAGGTAAAAAAATAAAACAACAAAAAATCACGACGTTTCGGCCACAACACAAGTGGCCTTCATCAGGTGAAGGGACCAAACTGTCCAGAGGACAGCGTTGGAGTGAAGAAAGCCAAGCCCAGGTCGCCTCCTTTAAGCTGTGAGGGGGTAAACAGAAAACGCCTTGACAAAAGGAATTAGCATAGAATGTACTACTGTGAAAGCTTGGAATTAGCATAAAATGCTGTACTACTGTGAGAGTTTGGGATGCCACTACTTGAATAAATATACTGTACCATTGAAAATTAGTTTAATGTTTGGTTCGATTTAGAACATCTTTCCAATTATTGCTTAATTTGAAATCTGAATTGCCTCGTGGACAAATCTCTGATAAAAACCCGTGGATTTGCAGAGAACCTTGGTATCGGAGAAAACTATATCGTGATCACCCACAGCGTTGTAACAGTGATCAGCTACGGCAGAAGATTTCGTTCTGCCATGTTTCAAATCTGATTTGTGCTCGTGACTTTGGTCAGAGACATGTCGTTTCGTCTCCCCGATATAGCAGTGACCACAGGTGCAGATCAATTTGTAAACCCCGGGGTACTGTAAGTCAGGAATGACATCCAACTAAACGTCCCTCCCTAAAAACTTCTGCTGCAAGACCCCCTAGATTCTATGGTCTTCCCAAGATTCATAAAAAAGGCACCCCACTATGACCCATCGTATCCACGATCAACTCCCCTACCTATAGACTAGCCCGTTTTCTGTCAAGACCGCCGCAGCAGTACTTAACTCAGCCCAATTGGTCTCTATGGTCAAAGACGTTGTACTATCCTTGTCAGCTTCGATGTGGTCTCTCTGTTCATCAAGGTCCCAGTACCTGATACCATTGAAATAATTGAAAATTTGGTCCAACATGGACTAGACCCCGATACACCTGCGCTGGTTAGGCACTGCCTCACCAATACCTACTTTACTTGGAATGGCACCTTCTACAAACAAAATGAGGGTACCCCCATGGGTTCCCCCTTGTCACCAGTGATAGTCAATGTTTTCATGGAGAAATTTTAATCAGACGCCATCCAGACTTCCACCCTCAGACCTTCCCTGTGGAAGAGATATGTAGACGACACTTTCGTCATTTGGCCACATGGCCTCCCAGCTTTGAACCTTTTCCTAGACCACATCAATTCCAGACACCCCGCCATCAAATTCACCATGGAAGTGGAGGAAGATGGCAAGCTGCCATTCTTGGATGTTCTGTTTGAGAGGAGACCTGATGGCTCATTGGGACATTCTGTCTACAGCAAACCCACCCACACAGATTCCTACTTGAAACCTGATTCCCACCACCACCCGACGCAAAATAATTATCTCATCAAAACGTTATACCACAGAGCTCATTGCATTTTGGACCAACACCACCTGACCAGTGAATTAAAACATGTACATCTGGCCCTCAAAAGGAACGGATACTCTGACCGTACCATCCGCCAAGCTGTTTCTCCCTCCATACAGAAACAACCACTTGATACGCCGATCAAAACCATCACACTACCATACATAGCAGGCGTTACTAAAAAGATCTCCAACATGATAAAAAAAACACAAGATCCTGGTCCGGTTAAATACAGTACACAAAATCCGTGACCTGATCCCTTCCGTGAAGGATGTCATTCCTGACTTACAGTACCCCGGGGTTTACAAATTGATCTGCACCTGTGGTGACTGCTATATCGGGAAGACGAAACGACATGTCTCTGACCAAATTCGCGAGCACAAATCAGATTTGAAACACGGCAGAACGAATTCTTCTGCCGTAGCTGATCACTGTTATCACGATATAGTTTTCTCCGATACCAAGGTTTTCTGCAAACCCACGTGTTTTTATCAGAGATTTGTCCACGAGGCAATCCAGATTTACAAACACGGACACAATTTCAACCAAGAGGATGGTTTTAAATTAAGCAATCATTGGAAAGATGTTCTAATTCGAACCAAACATTAAACTAATTTTCAATGGCACAGTATATTTATTCAAGTAGTGGCATCCCAAACTCTCACAGTAGTACAGCATTTTATGCTAATTCCAAGCTTTCACAGTAGTACATTCTATGCTAATTTCTTTGTCAAGGCGTTTTCTGTTTACCCCCTCACAGCTTAAAGGATGCGACCTGGGCTTGGCTTTCTTCACTCCAACGCTGTCCTCTGGACAGTTTGGTCCCTTCACCTGATGAAGGCCACTTGTGTTGTGGCCGAAACGTCGTGATTTTTTGTTGTTTTATTTTTTACCTACGTGACTTTACCGAATAGAACCAAAGAGTATGGATCCTCGCAGTCACGAAAGCTTTAAATCTAGAACCTTCCACCAGCAAGAGTGATAATGACTATTCCATTCACGGTAAAAAAAAGTGCTTTCCACAAATGAACCACAATACCGTGGTGATCTCGTCAAGAAGCATAAACCATTCACGCGATCTCCGGTCACCCCCGCCAGCAGCTTTTGGCTATCCATCGAATAAAGACGGTCACACTGCATCGTTCGCTTAGATACAGGGTACATTTCCATATCTGACCGCGTGGAAACAACTGGATGCAAAAACTCTGCGTTGGAGGCTTTTCCTCCCCATTAACTTGGAGGCGAGCGTGTGCTGAGAAATGCAGACCCACAGGCGTTGAGCCGGATAAAGTGCCGCAACCACAGTGCAGATCTGCCCATGCAATTGCGGGGCTTATTCAAATCCAATCAAAGGAGCTGCTGATAAGTTCAAAAGCTCGTCCTGCCAAGCAACACGTTCATTAAACTAATGCAGATGCGTCCTTCATTCCAAAAGATTGCAGTCTTGAAATTGAAAGAAAAAAAAGAATGGAGAATAGCCGTACAATTCAACGGGCAAAACTAAATATGATATGCCATTGGAATTAGAAAATATAAATTCTGACTGAAAAAAAACCTGTCTTTTTTTGAAATATTTCATTGTATGGAGTTATTAGGTCGCTAATAAAATCTCACCCTAAAGAAGAACAGTATCCAGTGCAGTATATACAGTCACGTGTACTGAGCCCTCTTACATTGCATGTTCATCCATACCCCGAAGCTTGTCATGCGAGTCACATTAGCCTCATCGTCCAAATGGAACCCACATCTTGCCTACAAATGCACATCCTTAAAGTATCTTGTAAGTACGTGGGGAGAATTAATGTGAAAGGCAAAAAAAAATCTTACAGCAGGAACCCAATCAATTACACACTAATGGATTCCAAGGGCTTATATCATTATGGCACACATTTGAACAAACGCTATATATGTAGAAAAAAGGGAGAAAAAGTTGGAAAGATTGTGGGTAAGAATTAATGCTTATGTGTGGCACTAATTAAGCCTATGCTAAGCTTGAACACTTCCTGTGTGTGTGTGCATGCGTGCGTGAATGCATGTGAATGCGAGTGCATGTCAATGCGAGTGCATGTGCGGTGGCATCCAGATTTGTGCGGGGGGAAGCGGTGGTGCTGCGATTAGAATGCGTTCCGCTATCGAACACGGCGACTCGAGTTCAATTCCCGCTCCCGTCCAACATCGGAGGCGAATATCCGAACTGGTCTTGGACCTTCCCTAGGTCAAACGAGCTTAAACGAGTACCTCGTGCGGTGTGTAAACATCAGCACTCGGAAGACAAAGGCGGCCGGGCGTCGTTCTGACCACCCACTCCTTTGTGTGCACGCGCCAAGCATCTTATAGGTGCTCGCAAACAGCACTTGCCCCATCCGCATGTGCAATAGGCTATACGGGGCTTTCCCCAGCCTTTCTCACGCGTGTTTTTCTGCG